AGAGATGGGGGAACAGCCAGTTGGTAGAGCAGTCAGAGAATACACATTTATCAATTAAGTTTGCCATCTTACATGGGTGTGCTTTGTGATGCCCCGAAACAATTACAATAGTAACAAAAATCACTTATCACACATCTGCGTAACAGATATAACAATGAAAAGGTCCTGAAATATTGCAAAAATTACCAACATGTGACAGAGACACAAAGTGAGAACCTGCTGTCAGAAAAACTTGCTTGCCAATAAGCAGGGTTGCCATAAGCTTCATTCAATTTGTAAAAGACACAAAGAGCTAAGTGAGGTGCAATAAAACAAAGTGTGCCTGTAAATTATGAACATCATGGAATTTCACCCCTAAAACTTTCAGCATTCATCTATTAAGAATAAGGACATTTTCCTGCTGGGTGCAGTGCCTCACGCCTGTAATTCTAGCACTTTGGGAGGCTGAGGCGGGTGGATCACCTGAAGTCAGGAGTTCAAGACCAGCCTGGGCAACATAGTGAAACCCCGTCTCTACTAAAAATACAAAAATTAGCTGGGTGTGGTGGTGCATGCCTGCAACTTCAGCTACTCAGGAGGCTGAGGCAGGAGAATCCCTTGAACCAGGGAGGCGGAGGTTGCAGTGAGCTGAGATCACACCACTGCATTCCAGTTTGGGCCACAGAGTGAGACTCTGTCTCAAAAAAAACAAACAAAAAAGAATAAAGACATTTTCCTACATAATTGCAATACCATTATCACACATAAGAAAACTAATAATGCCAAAATATCATCTAATGACATTTCCCAGGGTTTGAATGTGTCCCCCACAGTTCATGTGTTAGAAACTTAATCCCCTGAAAGCGACAGTGTTAGGAGTACGGGACCTAATAAGAGGGTCTTCCCTCATGAATGCATTAATGGCATTATCTTGGGAGTGGGTTAGTTATCACCAGAGTGGGCTTGTTACGAAAGCAAGTTCAGCCCCGTTTTGCTCTCTCGTGTTCTCTTGTCCTTCTGCTATGGGATGACTTAGTAAGGAGGCCCTGGTCACATGCTGGCACCTTGATATTGAACTTCACAGCCTCTAAAACAGTGAGAAATAAATGTCTTTTCTTTATAGATTACCCAGTCTGTGGCATTCTGTTACAGCAACACAAAACGGACTAACACAGAGCTCACGTCCAAATTTCCCCAACTATTCCCAAAATCTCTTAGATCTGGCTTTTTTTTTTTAATCAAGATTTAATTAGGGTGAATATATTATACTTATTTTTTGTGTCTCTGTAGTCTCTTTCTACAAACATCATCTCACTTTCTTTTACACTGTTTTTTTTTTTTGTATTTTTTTTTTAAGAAACCAGGCAATAATGCCCTATATTGTAAATGTCTGATTGTTTTTTCTGTCTGAGTGTGATGTTTTTAACTTGTTTCTTTACCCTTCGTATTCCCTATAAACTTGGGGTTAAGTCTAAGGGTTTGATTAGATTCAGGTTAGATGTATTTGGCAAGAATGCTTCATAGGTAATTCTGCAAACTCTATACTGTCTCACAGCAGGAGGCACATAGGTCAGACTGCCCCACTATTAATGATGCTGAGTTGACCACTTGGTCAAAGGGGCTTCCTGACACGCTGACCTTGCCAGCAAGTCATTTATACTGCACGATGCCTCAGATTTAAGAGGCTTAATATTTGCGCAAGAGCCTGCCAAGAATCCTAAGCTATTTTACTTCTCTGATCTCTTCTGACAGCTCTTCCTTGCCCATTTCTTGTACTGTTCTCTTTCCTCTGTTTAATTACTCTCCCTTTCTGCTCTGTGAGCTTGGTTTCCTCATCAATCATCCATTTTCCTCCACCATCCAAACAGTTCTGAAATTCTACTCTACAAAGCTTTCCTGAATTTAAATACATTGATCACAGTTCATCTTGAGTTTTCAATCCCACGTTTACTACCTAATTATTAGAATGTGCCACAGAAACAAGGGCTATCTCTGTCAAATTTATTTTGTATATGACCTCTCATAGCAATATATACACATAGATGTTTATTGGTAACTGTTGCATTAAAAGTCTCAATGGTTGACATTTGCAACTAATAAGAGGGCTCCACTGAGCAAACAATAGTGAGCATTTATCCAGGGTTTTGTTTTTGTTTTTGATTTTCTGCCATTTAAAATCTATCTATAACTCCTGATCATAGCTACGTTTGCAAACCAACCACAGCAAGAAAGCACAAATGTTTTCAAACTCCTTTGTAGGATTGTAGGATACACCTAAACACTATTGATTATTTGCCAGTAATGTATTTTTTAAATGCCTGGTTCACCCTAATTGCACAAATTAACTGGGCAGCCTTTGGCATCCAGCAACATTCCTCATGAACAGGAAGACCAATAAATATATACTGAGAATGCTTTCCAAAAAATAGGTCTTATTTTGAAGCTGTGTATGAGTGAATACACATGCAAAATGAATTAAGAATTGAGATCACTGTCTGGATCTTTCAGACCAAAAGTCAGAGATGTATGCAGATAAGACAAAAGTATCCCGCTGAGTTTTAATTATTTGGGTAATTCCATCAATTAGCCAATTCATTTCAATTGTATACTCTAGGCTTACAAGTCAATAGTATCTTTTCATCTTTTCTTGTCAGCAATCACCTAATATTGTACAAGAATAACAAGTTTGTTATGCCTCATTTTCTTGCTTTTTATCATCTGTGTTCCAACTTGGAAACGGGGAGGAAGGTACTGGGCACACAATTTTAAAAAGATCTGCTTTTTCCTTTCTCCCTGACCAACCTAAGCTGGAATGACTAAACAATGCAAATGGCACCAAATTTGTCCTCCCTCTCCAAGAGCAGTTCAGTGCAAAGCTGTGAAGTGTATAAAGTTTATCTTCAGCCCCATTGTCTTTGTCAAAACCTACCCTCAGCATAAACATTGTCTTTACTTTTAAGCTACATTTAAATTGATGGTGTTCCTTCTCCCAAAAGCATTTGCAAAACTGGGGAATGAAAAGCCACGTTAGGTCCCCTGTAGTCGCATTTCAGGTGTCCACAGGCCAATGAGGGCTGTGTTTGTGGGATCGATGCTGTCCCTGTCTTACTGAAAGCGCATGATATAAAAACAGTCATGGTAGATGGTTGCTTAAGTTTGACTCTATCTTGATAAATATTCTCTAAGCTAGTATTTGCATAGTTCTATAGTATTTGCAAAGCAGGGCTCACAATTATCTTGATTAATCTTAACAAAGTCTCATGAGCCCCATGTCTTATCTCTACTTTGCAGATAAGGAAGCTGCTTCCCTCCTGCCGAGTGCTGGGCTTACAGCTCTAATCAAGGTCTTACAACTCCACAAGGATGCTCTTTCCATTCCCACACGCTGCCTTCCATTCAGGTCTACAATCTTCCCTCCTTCTCCTAGAAGAAAGGTGACACTCCTACCATTGATTTAGTACCTAAAAGTGTTTCCCAGGTGTCTAAAGCAGGGACAATTAGTTCTATTACCCCCAAGTATTTCACATGCATATATACACACACACGATATATTTTTAATATTCAAGACATAGCAGAGGAATAATAATAAATGTATCTCATCTAGTCTTCTCATGAAGGGTTTAAACCATAACCAAAAGACAGGACAGAAACCACAGAACGAAGCCTCCATCATTATCACATAATGGAGTGCACGAACCAACACTTTTAGGTTATCTTCACCATGCACATTCAATGATAAGTTTTAAAGAAAATTTTGCCTTTTTCTCACTTTATGATATAAATATAGGCCTAAAGTTATACTTCAAGCAACTCCTGCACTATACCTTGCAATTTATGATTTTTTTTTCCTTCTTTTGAGACTGAGTCTTGCTCTTGTCACCCAGGCTGGAGTGCAGTGGTGTGATCTCAACTCACTACAACCTCCACCTCCCATGCTCAAGCGATTCTCCTGCCTCAGCCTCCCAAGTAGCTGGGATTACAGGTGCCTGTCACCACACCTGGCTAATTTTTGCATTTTTAGTATAGATGGGGTTTCATCATGTTGGCCAGGCTGGTCTTAAACTCCTGACCTCAGGTGATCCACCCGCCTCAGCCTCCCAAAATGCTAGGATTACAGGCATAAGCCACCGCACCTGGCCTGAATTTTTATAAGAAAATAAAAGATAACATGAAACATTACTTCCTGTCAAAGATGACATGAATTATTATTGCACAATGAATTCAAAACTCATAAACAAAACTATTGCAAAAGGCAAAAATATTTTCAAGCATCTTTGCGGAATATATATTCTATACCATGTCTCATGCCTGACACATGTTTTATACACAGATCATCCTAACTGAAAAAATAGAAACAGGTAATCATGGACTTCCAGAAACATCTTTGGAAGCCAGGCACGGTAGCTCATGCCTGTAATCCCAGCACTGTGGGAGGACGAGGTGGGTAGACCACTTGAGGTCAGGAGTTCAAGACCAGCCTGGCCAACATGGTGAAACCCCGTTTCTACTAAAAATAAAAACATTAGCCAAGAGTGGTGGCATGTGCCTATAATCCCAGCTACTTGAGAGGCTGAGGCAGGAGAATCACTTGAAGCTGGGAGGTGGAGGTGGTAGTGAGCCAAGATTGTGCCATTGCACTTCAGCCTGTGCAACAGAGTGAGACTCCAACTCAATCAATCAATCAATAAACAAATGAATAAATGTATTGTGTACATCAGGGACTGGCAAGTTTTTTCTGTAAAAAGACACACAGTAAATATTTTAGGTTCTGCAGACCATGTGTTCTCACTGGAACTATTTAATTCTGCAGTCATAGCATGAAAATGGGCATAGACAATATGTAAATGAATGAGTGTGGCTATGAGTGTGGCAATAAAACTTTATTTACAAAAATATGGCCACGAGTCATAGTTTGTTAAAGCCTTTTTTATAAAAACCATTTTTATCAAGTCTGGCTTTCTTGTTAAAATGATACCGTATCTGTAACACATTACTAAAGCAGGCTTGGTGATGATGCTTACCTGTGACCCAATGGTTTCCTGGAAGCACCGGCCAAGCTGTGTCTTAGCAGCCACGGGGTAGACGTGAGGAATGACCTGCTGGTGGGAGTATGTGGAATGTATGGTCTGGGTCTTCTGGACAGGAAGCCCTTGGTAAGAGACTTGGGATTGGCCTGGTTGAGCTTCTTTTGTCTTCTGGCCTGTTGGGCCATCGATTCTTGAAACCTGATGTATCTGGACGGAGGCCTCAGGTGGATGTTTCACATGGATATTGACTATGTTAGGAGGAAATTTCACTAAAACAGATTGAGAGGAAAACTTGTTAGTCCTGAATAACTAACAGGCAAACCAAAAGTTTTAAAACATGAAAGTAAATTTTATAAACACACATGCACACATATTTATATAATGTGCAGCACTTTGCTGCATAGCCATCAAAATTCTTAAGGGCACATGCAAAATAAAAATTAAGCCTGAATTTATATTTTTTAAAATTTGAAATTATAGAGAGAAATTAAAACTTTTAACAGTAACATATATATTCATGAGACTAAAATATTCTTTTCCAAAGTCATAAAGCTGTGAAATGCATCCTGCTTGTTCTAAGCAGATAAATTTTATCAAATGTTCATCAGAAAGATCAAGCATTTGATTAGTTTTGAATTTCTCATACAATTTCTATCATAAAAATTTTAGGATTTACATTTTTCTATTAAAAGAAAAACCCCAATTTTACAAGGCACAATTCTCTTACCCTTAAACAATAGAGTACCTGTTATTTTTGTGCTTCTTGTAACATACACACACACAAAATACCAAAGTGCATTATTTTTTATCTATAACAAGCTACGTTCTACAGCTTTCAAACAAAAATCTCATCTCCTGATGCAAGGATTCATGTTTTAAAGAATTAGAGCCAGTAAACTCCTATGACCCCCTTTTCAAAAGTGTGCATTTATAAAAATGCCAGGTTTAAAAGGATGAATTCGTCATAGAATTTTTGAGCTCCAAGTGACCTAGTTTACTTTCCTCTACAAATGAACAAATTGAAGTCCAGTGAGGTTAAATGATCGTTTACAACTGAAACCAAGCATTCTTTAATTACGAAGTTCACCAGCAGGTACTGTGCGATCCACTAGCTTATTAATGCTGTAAGGGCCAGAACACTGTCTTGTTCATCTTCCTGTTTCCCAGGCCTTGTCAGAACAGTGCCATGCACATTTATTAGCTCTTGGTGGTAAGAGTCACTAGAGAAAAATGGGCTCCTTTTTATTTTCTTTTTTCCTAGATACCAATTCTCTATGGCCTAGAAAGAACTGCAGCTACATACCTGGGCCCACATTCTGTCTCTACTGCCATTTCTCAGGCCACAAATCATGTACTCCTTTCTGTTTCAATACCACCCCTGGCCATCTGCAGATCCTTGACTTCTATGTGGGTTTGGCAGGTTAACAGAGGTCTGGCAAATGGGTAGAAAGAGAAAAGCTTACCTTTGACCCCTTGCTGGCTAGTCACGGTCAGAGGCAAGGTATGTGTAGAATGGATGACATGCGTCCCCAACGCCTTGCCTGGCTGCTGGGAATGCTGATAAAGTTTAGGCACGCTGGCACCGTGGACTGGGATCTGACAAAGCTTTCCTGTGAAATTTGGAGGGCACTGACATTTGTCCCTTGAACTGCACTGGCCACCATTCATACATGGTAGATGGCAAATGACTGAAAGGGAAAAGAGAAAAAGTGGAGAGTCTGTTAGTCTCTCAGAGGCTAAGGAATGATCAACCAACAAAACGTGCAAAACACACAGCCCATTATAGGCATCAGAGTCCCACGAACTTTAGAAATGGTAAACAGAGGAGTAAACTCACTATGCCAAAAGTAGTCTCTGTTACTCACTACTTTTTTCTTTCCATCTTAAGTCATTTAACTCTTTAATAGCTTGTAATTATTCTCCCTCCAACAATGGAAAGAAAAGTTCATAGGAAAAGATTAGTATATACAGTAGCCACTCAGGATTATTGTCTATCACCATGCCATTTTAAGTACCATTTGCAATCCATAATTATTTCATTAACTGACTCCCTACATGATAAACTCCTCAAGAACAAGTGGTATGTATGGCCTGGTAGTGTATATGGCCTGGTAACCTTAATATCCTTGACACCTAGAAAAATGTCTGGCATACAATGGACATTAAATAAATATTTGCTCACCTCATTCTCCAGGATGTGATTATAACGCATTGCAAGCCTGTATCAAAACATCTTGTGTACCCCATAAATATATATACCTACTGTGTACCCACAAAAAATTAAAAATTACATATATTTGCTCAAAGAATAAACAAAGAAACAAATGACAGTAATAAAAATAATATTTGTTGAAATTTTTCTCTATTTAAGACACTAAATGCTACCCAGAACAAATAAGTAGAATAGTTTGAATCATACTTTACAGGAATTTGCAATCTTGTGTAACAAGATCTCAGTGAAGCCCAAAATTAGTCTGGAATTAACTTATTTAGAATACTGAAAGATAACAGGACAGACTGGGCAAATAATTTTAAGAGGAGTTATAACTCTGGCTATTTTAGCTTATGGTCAACCTCTTTATCACTAATGAATTCTTCCTGTCAGCCTTTAAACATCACAGATTTCCAGTAGCTTAGACAATATTATAATAAAAGCCCCTCAGCTCCATTTCATTCCAGCTTCCACCCTCTTTAAATCCTCTCCTCCGTAACTAAACTTTCCACCATAATTGTCTGTTGACTTCTCAAAGTGCTACAATCTATCTTGGGCCCGTTTATGTTTTCCCTGCCCCTCCTCTACACAAAAGCTATTCTTACTAGGGTCATGAACGGTTTCCACGTTTCTAAACCCAATGGATGGATTTCAGTCTTCCCTTGGTTTCCAGAACACCTCACTCACCTATTTTGCTCCTTCTTCCCGCCTATTCCATCTTAACATTCTTTGCAGACTCTGCTCTCTTTACTTGTTCTTTACATACTGATGTGTGTTAAGGTTTGGTTTTGAAGTCTTCTTTACTGACTCTACACACTCTTTCTCTATGATTTCATTCTATCATATACTGATGTCACCCAAATTTTTATTTCCTGGTCAAAGCTTTCTTCCAAGCTTCAAACTGTCTACAACTATATGTCACCATGCACGTATTTCATAGGCACCTCAAATTCACAATGTCCAAAATTGAACTCATTGTCTTCCCTCCAATACCTCCATCCACCAAGTGATCCTTAAGAAAAACCTGGGTGCTGCTCCCTCATTTTATCTACTCAAACATCTGATCCTGGAAGTCCTCCCTCCTGGACATTCACCAAAGATGTCAACTTTTTGCCCATTACAGGGATCCTCTGCAACCTCATCACTTAGGAATCTTACCTCATTCTCCACAATACAGCTACATGGAACTTAATTCAGTTCCTCAGTGTGCTCTCACCCTTCCAGATCTTTATCCACACTGAGTCCTCTGCCTGGAACATTCTTTCCATCTGGCCCCCGTCAACTACCTGATTCCTATGTATCTTTCAGACTCTGCCTGAACCTCACTTCTAGAAGCATTCCCATTGCCCCTCATCTAGGCTTGACACTTATCTTCTTGCTTCCACGAATCTGATTCACTATCCATCATTTCATGCATCTTACAGCATTATAATCAACTGATTACTTCTCTGCATGCCTCACTCAACCAGAGCTCTGTGAGGTCGGGAAGTTACCTTGTTATGTTTTACTGCTAGCACATAGCCCAATGTCTAGAAGAAATGCTAAAAAAAAAAAAAAAAAAACCAGAAAATACTGAATGAGGGCAGGGATAGATTTATACCTATCACTCTGTAAAATGCCATTCTTGGTGGTATAGAAGATTCAGTCCCTGCCCATCTAGGACTTAAAATCTAAATGGAGAAAATAAATAGCACATAAATAAAAATACAGATCAGCAAATAAGCGGTAACTGGAAAGCATGAAATATAAATCCTTTGGAACTGCAGAGAGGAGAAAAGACATTTCTAGGAAGTCAAAATAGACTTCACAGAAGAGATCATTCAGGGTAAGTTTTTCAAACTGGTGAAGATTCAGACAACATCAAAAAGTGCATTTTAGGAAGACAATGTGTAGACAGGAGGGGTGGTGGGCATATTTGGGAGATAATGAGTAAACCTATGTTGTTGAAACTACGGGTTCTTGAGGGAAGGGAAGAGATCAGGTAATAAATTCGAAGAAGGAGGCTTGTGTCAGACAAAGGAAGTTATTACAGGCTTGATAAGGGCTTTGGATTTTATTCTGTAATCAGTAAGTTATTTTGGAGGCTTCAAGCGGAGGATTAAGTAAAGCTGCAAGAGTGTTCCAGGAAGATTACTCCGGTGATGGCATGCGGGATTAGCTGGAAAGGAGAGAGAGTACAGTGGGAAAGTCAGTTAGGAAACTATTATAACAATTGAAATCCATATAATTAGGATGATAGCAACAGGAACTAAAAGAAACATGCAGGAACATAAGGCTGGAGGGAAAATCGGTAAAACTTGATGATGGGTACAGGAGGAACAAGGAAGAGGGGAGGAAGTGGAGGAGGAAGGACAGAGTTGGAAAAATTACAAAGGTGACAACCCAGAAACTTTCTTCAGGGTGTAGACTGCAGATCAAGTCAAAACTCCCCATGCTGGATGGGGTCTGAAAAATACTTGCACTAGTGCTCAATCTACTCTGTGAGGTCTTGGGTAAGAAAAGAGAAAGTCAAAGCTGACTCCAAGATCGAATCAATGACTTCGAAACTCTCAGTTCAATTCTGAATTGATTTTGTACACCACAGCTTGGCTACACTGGACAGGCTCAGTGTGTAACGGGTAAAGCAAAGGGAGCTAGGCCAAGCTTTAAATGTACTACAGATAATCTATAACTGGAATACAGGCACTCCTCACTTGGTATGGTTCCAATACGCGTGAATTTCCGTTATCATACTTTAGTTAAATAATACCAGTCCCCCAACGATGTGGTTCAGACTTCAGTTACCACGGTATACTAACTGAGTAACTGCAGGAAATACAAACCTCACTGCTAGCTCTTTAGTTCGCAAATCATGATGTGAATAACAGATGTGGACCACGACCAGTGACGAATCATGTCACTTCTTTCAAAGCCTGCTGGTGATTGGTCCCTGCACATCCCGTATTCAGTTCAGGCACAAACAGCAAAGCAGAGAGTTCTGCTGTCTCCTCATCTCAGAGGGATAAAAATCACGGGACATTTTACACAAGTGGATAATCGAAAGACAGTATGAGCCAACAAAAAAGAAAGTGCAGCAAAGAAATACGAAGTGACGATACTGGACGAGAAATTGGAAGGAGGCTGTAAAATGAACAGGATGAAGATTCCCAAGGGGATTAACATTAAAGGAACTCTCAGCTACTTCACAACTTTGGATCAGCTTTCAACATTTTGGCCCAACTCAAAAAGGAGTACAATGGTTCACAAAAGAAAAGAAATGCTCTATATCATAAGCTATATAATGAAAAGCAAACATGTTGAAATTATTCCCGTTTTACTCAAAGAAATAAAACATTTTAACTCTCAATGTTTCTAACATTTTAAATTATCAAGTACTAAATAAATACTAGCTGTACTATTTTTTTGATTTTCCTATATATTAATAACCTACACTAAAATATTTTTAATGCTTTGGCAAAAAATTCTTAAGGTCATAGAACTCATTATTTTTTAATTGATTATTAAGATGCAAAGTGAGGGCTCCCTATAATCAATCTATACTAGAATATAATGTGTGTATCTGTGTACACATACATATATATGTGTCTGTGTGTATGTGTATACATATGTGTGTGTATACATATATTTTATATAATATATATATTTTATATATATGTATATCAAACATCAACTTTTTTTTTTTCTTTTTTTTTTTGAGACAGAGTCTCACTCTATCGCCCAGGCTGGAGTGCAGTGGCGCCGTCTCGGCTCACTGAAAGCTCCACCTCCTGGGTTCACGCCATTCTCCTGCCTCAGCCTCCCGGGGTAGCTGGGACTACAGGTATCCGCCACCACGCTGGCTAATTTTTTGTATTTTTAGTAGAGACGGGGTTTCACCGTGTTAGCCAGGATGGTCTTGATCTCCTGACCTTATGATCCGCCTGCCTCGGCCTCTCAAAGTGCTGGGATTACAGGTGTGAGCCACCACGCCCGGCCAACACCACCTTTTTTAAACAAAGAAACAGTAACCAATAGACTTTTACAAGGTATTTCCAGTATCAGTAGTAGACTTTGAAATCTATCATGAACTTAATTAGTTTCATTTAAATCTACCTTTAAACCCCTGAGATAACTTCCATACAGCTGTTTCAAGGACTATACTAGCATACGTGGATATAGCAATAATCCCTAAACTCCAACAACCCTGTGTCTCTCTGGTTACAAAGGAAATGGTTTCTGCTTGACTTATTTCAACCAATAAAAGTCTAGTATTTATAACCCTTTATGAATAATAAATAAAATATCTATTCTCCAGTTCTAGCATTTCTAAAATCTAAATGACAATATAAAGCTCTTTGTCTCAGTTCCGTATGTATTGAACTCTTTGTGGCAGGCAGTATTTTTACACCTATATAGTCATTTATATCAAAGAAACAAATTGAAAATAGACTTACAAACTTTAGGATTCAACTATGAATAGTTTCCTTCTGTTTCCAA